ACCTCCACTCGGACCCGATCCGCCGCCGGCGAACCGGGCGGCGGAGGCCCGCCTACCACAGCCTCATGCCGCCCTGAGTGTGGCCGCGGGTGGACGGGGTGGGTTTCCCCTCCACCCGCATTAGTTGGCCAGCCGCGAGGGGGCGGCGTCCGCGTGTGCCGGACGTCGCCTAAAGAGAGGAACATCAACAATGAGACGGAGCCCGCACCAGGAGCGGGCTGGCGCTAGGAGGGGTCCGGATGTCTTAACAACAGCTGTTCCCGGATCCCTCCTGTTACAGGCGCAGAGTGGCACACCGTGTGGTTTTAGTCGGTCCGAGTCCGACACACCACCCCGCCGCAAACCCCGGAGGGGTGACGGTCCGAGGGGATTTCCACACGTTAAAAAAAAAAAAAAAAAAAAAAAGGGTTTGTGGTCCTGCGTAGTTTGCTCCCTTAGTCGGCTTTTACGACACCCACGGGATGAATAGGGGTGGTGACATTCCGTATTCTTAATCCGTCACCACACGGACGAGTTGTTAGAGTTGTTAGAGACACGGAGTTGTTAGAGATTTAAAAAGAAATAAATCAACATTTATTTATTGCATCATAGTCGCCTATATGTATTTTTAGTATAATGACATAATGAATGTTTAGTTTTTTTTTACCAACAACAGATCTTTTCTATGGGCCGAAATTCTTACTCCAGAATAGCACGTAAAGCAATAAAAAACAAAATGATTTAAGAAATTTTGTACCTTTTCTTATCATTAATTAAGTGTATACTACATAAACGCTACTCAATAATACTCAGAACTCACGAAGCTATTTTATAAATACAGTTTGGTTCCTTGTCTCACTGAGAAATAAAAAGTTGCATATTTTGGAAATTTTTAAACAATGACGTTTGAGATATTACTTAAATCTGTTGTTTTTTTTACAGTTCTTATAGCTTTGTTGTAAACAACATATACATGGTTGGAACTGGTAGGAACCGTTAGAGAATAAAGTGAAAAGTCCGCATCTCTGCACCCTCTTAGACTGTCGCTTTGCAAGCCCGCAATCTACTAACCCCTCCGTCGCAAGCCGCACCTCACACGGTCGCAGTGTTGAGATCGGTGTACTCGTAAATTCTGACTTCTGTACTAAACTCGCACGACTACTACACATTACGTTTATGTTGTATTATTAGTTACATTTACCAATTTTATTTTTTTCGCGATTTTCAAGTCAAAACAATCTTAACAATCACATCAAACACACACTTACACACTTAAATATTTGATTTATTCTTTGACAATGAAAAAACCAGACGTTCTGTAAACTTATTCGCTTCAACAATGAAAAACAACAATTATAATTTAATGGAATCGAGAGAGTTATAAATTGTTGTTAATTGATTTAGGACGAATTTCTCTTTCGCCTGTGAACATTAATCAAGCGTTTTCATTCACTATTCTTGGCAAACCCCGCATTGATATTCACAAAGCTGTCATCAAGATGTAATTACAGCAGTGCTTCAGACTAGATGAGACTTAAGTTGAAGTATTATAGGCGATCAAACGATAAGTGTCTGAGTGTTAAAAATCGTGAGATGGTAGAACGCATCCTGAATGAGATAAATTTTAAAATTTATCAAATGGATATGGACATATGTCCTATGTGTAGCCATGTATAGATAAAGTCTCTCTGTTTGAGAGAGGCAGAGATTCATGAGGTAAAAAACAAAACATTCTTAATTATATGTTGTATACGATTTAAGAAAATACATTTAAAACATGCTTTTATGTAACAAGTTAAGTATCACAATATGCTTGAGGTTCATGGAGTGATTAATGATATCAAAACTACCACGGGGCGTTAAAGTTATTTCCTAAAAAGTACAACCTATATTGATACGATGTACTTTTAAGATTTATTAACTTAGCTTGAATAAATCGCTTTTCACTTCTTAAATCTTATATTAACAATATAATCTTATGAGCCACGAGCATGCATTAAATCCGAAATCCATTGTAACTAAACGGTTTATATAGACCGTTCTGACACTAACCTTTGAAATCTGAAAGAGCTTTTTTTTCGATGAAAAGAGGCACCGAGCAGATTTCACAAAGAGCGCAATCTTTTTGTCATTGCGAGACTATTAAAGACAATGCAGACAATTCAGACAATTCAGTGCGTGTGGATACAACGCCTGAGAGAAATTGTAATCCAATTTATTTTTGTGTGTGACTTGCCTATTATGCATATATTTCAATTCAAAATTAATTGTATTACATTTTTTTTTTGTTTTTATTTTTGCATAGCTCAGGTGGTATATAAATGATGAACAGGTCCGGAGAGGTAACACTCCCGTGTCTTACACCACATTGAAATTAGTAGTTCCTTGTAGTATTATATATTATAGTTGTCTTTCCGACAACCTGCTTAAGCAATATTTTTTTGCTATCCGTCACCTATCCGTCCCATAACTGGCCAAGCTCAAGATATTCAAGATATCATCCTTGACAATAGAGATAAACTGTGTTCTGGTTAATTCCACAGGGTAGTAACAATGCCTTAAACAGAGATTAAAGAGTCACATCTGATAATAGCTTGACTTTTTAACCTCTGTTGCACAGATGTGCTTACTCGCATTCCACAAATATCAATTTTGATGGATGCTACTGCCATGACACTTTAACCTCTGTTGCACGGATGTGCGTTCCTGCATTCTTCAAACGTCAATTTTAAGAGAGCCTTGAACGTGACTTTAAAAATGATATATGAAATTTAGGAAGTGAAGGATTAAATTTTATATCTTAATGAACACATAAAATCAAAGCTCAATTTGGCTCGCTACCTATTCCCATGTATCGGGTCACTAGATTAGATGGCTGAGGTAGCGAAACAACCATTACTGAGCTATCAGTGGCCGTCAATTAGTCGACCCAGATCGATCCTTGGCCTGATTAATGAAACGTGACACCTACTATTGGGGTAAAGCGTTGGGGTAAAGAAAATCTTTAAATTCAATTAGTAAACCAGTACATAATGAATCTATTTTTCATTCTTACCTACGAGTACTGCTCCGAGAGACATATATTTTAGTGTTTAGGTTTTTCTTGCAATTATGCGATAAAAACTACCAATACAAAATGTTTAATTTTATTTACTTTAAGCAACTTCAATATTTGTTATCAGTGTCACTGCTTATTTAAAAAAAACCTTCATCGTGGCATCTTTTTGACAGAAATTTATCTGTCTTTTAATTGTAATTTATCGGTTTTTGCCAATGGATAGAATGATTTACGATAAAGATTTAGAGGAATAATTGATTGAGAATATACCTATAAATTTGTTGAAATCTGATGAAAAATATCGGGCAAAATATTGAAGACTGTAAAAAACTGGTAAATATGAGTCAACAAAAATTATGTATGCATTTTTTTACCTATCTCTCTCTCTTCGTGACTGAAATATTGCACGCTTTTATGTCCAAGTAGACCCATGACCAGACCCATGATGTGGTCATGGGTCTTCCTCTAGAGCGTGCTCCGAGAACGGATAGTTCGAGTGCCTGGTTTCCAACGTAATCAGGTGGTCTTCTCCTGACTGATTCCTGACTTTTTTTACCTACCACTTCATGAAAATCTAAATCAGAAAGAAGTCGGAGCGGGTTTGTAGTACAGGTTGGTGCTGATTCCCCGTGTTCTTGTATTACTGCCAATCTGTGGAACGGATTATCGTTTACGGTATTTCCGGACCGATACGACCTTCAAGAGTGAACTTCGCCCTAAAAGACCAGCCGCGTTTGTACATCCTGAGTTGCAGACGTTCATGGGCGGCGATGGTCACTATCCATCAGGTAACCAGTCTGCTCGTCTGCCTCTCTATCATAAAAAAAAAACTACTACTACTGTTTTATCAAATTAAAAGAAGTTTTTATCATGTTTAAAGCACATACTACCTAGTTTTAAATTTGTATAATATTATAATCCAAATGTTAATGGTCCGTGATAAAGTATTATAGCTTTGATTAAAGTACGAGTGACTCAAGTTCAAGATTATACTGAAGGAACGTGCTTTTTCTTGTTTTATACTTCACAGGAGGGGTGGGGGGGGGGGGGCAACGAGCAGACAAGTCACCTGATAACTAACCCTTCCATGGACACCTAAAACTTAAGAAAGCATTGACAGCCTTTGAGGCTTTTCTTTTCTTTAAAATACAAGACCGATGCAATCTTTACGTATACATCTGTAATTACCGCTGGCGACGATTTGTTCCACAGATTTATAATAATGTAAAATATCTAAAGCCATAAAAAATAACAATAGCTGTAGGTAAAATGGAATGTAATTTCATTCTATTTTCCATTTACATCTATATAATCTGAATAAAGATTAATAATTTATCAAAGTTTGAAAAGTAATTTACTTATCTTAAGGCGATACGTTCGTCTTCATCAAAGATCCTTTGAAATCATAAATTAAATTTGCTTTCGTTGAACTACCGAATACTAATAAAATCATTCTATTGAAACTGTTACAAAATCAATTATCAAGTATCTTGAAGGCTTCGTTTCGAACGAGAATAGAAATGGGATCCGTGAAACACGGAACTGCACTTCATTCAATTTTATATTCGACTTTTCCATTTACTCATTAAATGATTCTTGGAAAATCGACCAACTGCATCTTAGAAGGTTGAAATGTACCTATTGGTGGCCTCGTAAAGAATCAAGGTGTTTGGTTAATTGATAAATTATAGTTTGATCCAGCGTTTCATAATTGTATATCAGACATATTATTATCATCGAATACAGGTACATAATAAGAACTATTGTTATAATTTATTTGAAATGTTTTTCTTAGAACAGATTTACAAGTGCCTCTCTGTGTTTCTATGTGTATCTCAGAAATTAGTATGTTTAGGAGACCTATGTGTGTAGGATTAAGTATGATCACTACTTAATGGTTCATACCTTACATTATTTTCTACATTTAGAATGTCGTAGCGTAATAATAATTTCCTTTATTTTCCTAATATTTTCCTTTATTAATCAGTCGATATGGACTTAGAAAGTATGTGGGTATAGTGGAGGGGACAATCACTCCTCCAGTTTTTGGTAGGTTATTTATAACCTTCTTGCTGCCTGTCCCAAAGTAATAAGCTTGGACTACGAGCTTCGAACAGTAACTGGGATTTGTACTGTGCAGGTTTGAAGTGATCAAATATTTTATATGTTTCGTCTTTTTAGCGCCACCTGTGGGATTGTAGTAGACGTGGTCAGCCCACGTGGCGGCCTGTCGAGCTACTGTACTATCAGGGCAACGATATACCGTGGTCCAATCTGAAGCGTGTTCATCAAACCATTTATCTTTACCGATCTGCCTGTTGTTACTCTCTATTCCTGTAGCCCAACCAGAGCCTCCAGGCATCTCTAGCACATAGTAGTCAGAAGACATGATCGCTGCGTGGCCAACTATGCCGCCAATACCTCGCCCCGTAATCAAAATATCGCCCTTTCTTACTGTATTGACAAAGGCTCTTTTATTTGACGCTGTACTACGTTTAGTTCTTTTTTGCTCAAACAATGACTCTTGAGTATCGGATAGTACTCCAAAGTTGTTCATAACAAGCCAATCTGAGTAATTATGTGGCAGACTAACATTTAATAAAATATATTCCTTGTACAAATTTTTGAAGATTTCATCTTCATCCTTCTTGAATGATTCAAGGCTGTATTTTTCAGGATTAATTATGCCCAGTTGCACGCCAAGATCATATACTGACGTTGTATCGTCCGATAATGTTACATTTTGATCTAGAACAATCATAATAGATTAAAAAAACATTTATACATAATCGGATGTATAATAATTATTTAGTGTAAAAGTAAACTTCATTGTTCCTACACAATGATTCTCTCCAAGAAGTTACGTTTAACAACGCATTTGGTTTAATTTCTATTTGTAAACTAGCTTTTGCCCGTGGCTCTGCCCGCGTGTATGTCGGTTATCGCGGTTAAAAGTAGCCTATGCTACTCGCTGATACTGTAACTTTCCATTATTAAATGAATTTTTAAAATCGGTTTAGTGGTTTAGGCGTGAAAGCGTAACAAACAAATGAACTCACTTCCACGTTTATAATGTAAGAATGGATGTATATATTAATAACTGTACTTAGATATGCGGTATTCATGATTTTAATAACAATTGTTTTGTGTCTCTTTCGAAATGCCAAGATATAGATATAGTTATCTACTCAATTCGGCGAGTGGATTAGATAACAAGTTTAAAGAATTATTATTACGTACAAAAGGCGACTTACCAAAATTTTTCAAACTGTTCAGTTCTTCAGATAATACCTGTGATTGTACAAGAAGTAGTACCACAAAACAAAACTGTTTAAACTCCATGATGTTAACATTAATATTACGAACAAAATCACTTTTATCCTTTTATATACAATTTGTACGTAACCGTATTATAATGCGTCATGGACATGAGTGGTGTCCCGAACATCAATAACATACAGATAATACACGTTTATTTGTCTTACTACAAAAAACCACAATATAGATAAGACTGTTATTATATTAAATATGTAAAGAATCTCAATTCTTTAGTTGTTAAGGCGTCCTAAAATTATTTTGTCAACATACTTTTTATATCCATGCCATTAATTAAATAAGTATTTGCATTTTTGAAGACTGTTGGAAAAAAGATCTTTTGAGAAACCTTAATTTTAAAAAGAGATTTAAATAGACAATATAGACACTTCTAGCCTATAAAGTTGAAAATTGAGAAAACTATCCTGCTAAAAAAATAATATAATTGTCCAAACTATACTTATGAGGAGCACCTAACCACTACCGTAATCTCCAGGTTATGGTAGTGGGTGCTCCGAATCGGATTGGACGCGAAGAGACGGCACAATACCAGCACTGCGACCATGCGGGGCAGTCTTCCAGCGTATGCTGGAAAACTGCACCGCATGGGCGTCTGAACGCGAGGTCCTGGTCGACCAAATCGGACGAGACCTGTCCCCGTCAGCAATCATTGCTGCCATGCTGGCGTGTGAGGAGGACTGGGGCGCAGTGGTCTCTTTCTGTGAAGCTGTAATGCTTCAGAACGAGACCGCTGCGAGACGTCGGCGGTGCTATCAGCCTTCGACAGGGCCGCAGGCTGCCGGAGAATGGGGACCTCTGGTGGCAGATTAACTGCTGCGGCTGGCGATAGGATGGTGGCCTGGTCGCAAAAATGCGATCGGGCCGCAACATATTACAAGGATTGGCCGATAGGCGGGGGAAGCCTTCTTTCCCCGGGATAGGCCCTGGCTAAGCGCGGCGTCGATCCGGGGGACCTGAAATAATATGGTCAGGGTCCTTCTCGGAGTAGGGCGCATGAGTCCGGCCGTTGGGGTGGTTTTTAGTGGAAACACCACATGCTCCTGGCTTCTACATCCCCGAGGAGCCGGAGATGGCGAACTGTTTTCCACACAGTCAACAAAAAAAAAGGTTCTACCAAAGATGCTAACAGGTGCTAATCAGATTACAAATTCCTGTTCACTCTGCTATGAAATATCCTTACATATTATAAAATGTAGCCCTACCGCCGCATCTGTCTGTTTGTATGAACGCGATAAACTGTAAAACTACGGAACGGATTTTTGTACGGTTAATAGATCGTGTAACTCCTGAGGAAGGTTCAGGTGTATAATTCATGATAGTTTCATGTAAATTGACTAAAATATAACGATTATTATGGAAGAAAACTCAATAAAACGTATGCTATTTAAACCGGGCGAAAAAAGGATCAGGGCTACCAAAATCCACGCGGGCGCAGCTGCGGGCGGAAAGCTAGTAAGTATCTATTTCTGTAACAAAATTTTTCCATTTGGTTGAAATACCAACGTTGAAGGTAACGGCTAATACATGTTTAATAGACATTCCATTCGAAGTTCAAAGCTCATGTAGTTCATTGCAAACGTTTTACCTATACTATCAGCTGGGAAAGGACTGATCGTAATGGCAAGAAATTCACTAGGCTTTGTTTAATGCAAAGTTATGTTAATTTGTTCACTTTCCATGACATAAAAAGCAAATTAGTGACAAGTCGAGTAAGGGTAAATTGCTACTTCCGCCCATGAACCCCTTCATCTCAAAAGTTACAAGTGCGTTGCGGAAAAAAGTCTTAATAAAGGAAATTTCAACGACAGTGTAACTATGCAATGATAGTTAATATATTACTAGACAAGAAAAATACGAATAGGATATGTGATCTATAAAGAAGAATCCAGTTAAGCTTTAAAAAGCAATTTCTAAGTGCGACAGACTTAAACAGTTACATTTTGTTCTAGAAAATCTTCATATAACCCTGTCACATACGTGCATACCTTTAATATCTTTTGTAGGGTAAACCTTTGTTCTTTAATAAGTATTTAGTTATAAACAGCAAACTCAACAGCCAGAACAACTGCTACTGAACTGATTATGTTCAGATGTTTATACTTTTAATATTGTTCTGCATTATTAAAAATGTTTTTCTTCTAGGAAAAGTTCTTGTAGAAACTTTGAAATCATCTGTCGTATATTTTTTTACTAATTTTTTTTGTCCTTGTCTTAACTTAGAATTTAATCTTAGGGGAATAATCTAGTCTAGATAACGTTTGGGTCATGTTTTGAAGATCATTAGAGATTTTTAATAATTATCTCTCTTAATAAGAAAACATTAAATTATATCTTGCAAAAACAGCCCTTAAAAACTTCACCGTCAATGTATCAGCTCTTTGTCCGTCAAGTAAAACCATGTTAGGACAATCAGAAATCAAGCTATACAGTCTCTGAATATAAGATTTAACTATCATAGATCCTATGCACTATTTTTAGGTATACATGTGTTCTTAAATGTATGTCTAAAATGATGTAATTTTATTGAACCTTATCATTCCCATCACAACCTTATCATCATTAGACAGGGTGGTACTGATGATATCGTTGTATTTATGAATATATAGTGTTTATATATCAATTATACACAAATTGCAAATATTATTGCGTGTATGTTCACGGAACCCGTCGTGTTTCATTATTTCTTTATTATTCTATTGTTATTTGGGATTCTCTTCGGCCATCGTTCCCCACCAGGCATCTCCACTACAAAAATCTGATGTCATAATTACTGTATGACGGAACATCTCCTGTTTAGCTCGTATCTTCTCGTTTCTTTACAATGTACACAAAAGCCTTTTACAATAACCTGAAGTATTCATATTTCACTCAAATAAATACATACTAACATCAGGCATAATATTATAAACTAGTTAATATTTTCATATAAAAATTGTTTTTGTTGTAAAATAAATAATGATTTACCTGTATTCCGTTATTAAAATGTTCACCTACTTAAGACATTAACAAAAGCTGTTTTGTTCTAAGTTTGTTTATTTTTGTCTCGAACAAAGATTATTGAGTATCGAGCAGTATTATAGAACATTTTTAACGAGTTGTTCCTGCTAATTATGAGTCGCTAACTAATATTTAAATATTTAATGTAATATACTGTCATTGATGATTTATTTTGAGAACTCACTGCTAGACGCACGTTTGGCCATAGGCAGCCGTTGTTTAAGTCGGCATTGTATCATTCTGGCCGTTGATAATTAAAAGTATCTAAACTTTTGTGTTATTGGTAACTCATGACTATCTTCAGTGAAAAACCGTTACAAGACGTTATTAAAGCATTTTTTTAATTGCCAGGTAAGAGTGCATATTCATATTGTGTGTGAGTGTGTGTATGCGCGTTTGGGGAAGACTTGATTTTTGTCAGAGTATTCTCTTTAATAAATAATAAAGAAAAAGACAATAGCTGCTTGCCGTGATATCTTTACAAATAAAGCATTTCTTAAGTAAAATAGATTTTTTAACTTTTGAAACTACAAACGCTCCAAAATTAATTTTAATGGATAACCGTTAATAAGTTGTTAACAATATCATTAAAAGGAGTTCAAGGTTTCAAGAGTGTGATATGTTATCTAATCCAAATGAGGGCTAGCAGTCTTTTAATGTAAGAGACAATAAAAAGCACTTGAATGCGTATGAAGTACAAAAACACTCACAAACCATGCGTTTTATTTCATAAGGATTGTCGTAAGAGTGCCTCGTCTAGTAGCAGAAATAAGGTATAATTAAAACTAAAAATAAAATAATTGTATAATTCATGTGCATTAACTGCACATGTTTTCCTGTAAAATGTCCAGGTATAGAACTCACTGGTAGACACACCTTTGTACATTTTGCTGATGTAGCCGCCAAATGTCATCTGTCTATCTGTTTCTCTGTGTGTGTTTCGTTCTGTACAGCAAAGACACTTTATTAATTCTCTAAAATTGAAAATCTACTAATATCGTTATATTAAGATTTTGAAAATATTGTGTGCTTCAGTTTTGCCATTATGTTTAACTTGTGCGGCCTTAAAACTATTATTTAGTAATAATGACTGGAAATTGTCTAGTTAAATTATGAATCTAAGATTTATTATTATATTTACCTACCTACTTCGTTCATTAAAGTCAATGTTGAAAAGATTATATTTAAATATACTAAATGTACGTTAACAGCCGGAGCCTTGATTTTAACCATGTAGTCTGATATTACGCGGTTGGGCGTTTTTCCAGACGTTAATTCAATCCGTATCCAGCTCGTCACAGCGTTCGAGATAATTGACGCGCTATAGCGGTGACTTTATAAAGCAGGTACCACACTAACCAATTAGTAGAATAATAACGGCAAAATGTTGTTATTTGTAAATTACATACCTACATATTATATTATGCATACACTCATACCATGTCAGTCAGTCAGTCATCAATCATCATCTCCACATTCTCGAATGAAACTACGAACTTTTAGTTCATCATCATCATCATCAGCCTATAGCCGTCCACTGTTGAACGAAGATCTCTCCCAAGGAGCGACAACTAACTCGATCTTGGACAGCCCACATCTATGCGCTACCAGCCACTTTCCTCAAGTCATCGGTCATCATGCTGCAGGGCGCTCTACACTTCGGGACTTGACTGGCTCACTTTCACTTAAGCGTATTGATTCTCCCTGCGTTGTCGGTCACACTAGCTCTCTGTCGAATAACTTTGTTTCGAATTTTATCGACTAAAGAAACACCCAGCATCGCTCGCTGAGCGACTTAAAACTTGTGGACCGGTTAACGGTGCGTGTCCACACCTCAGCTCTGTATGTCATTATGGGAAGCACTGGTTTAATAGCGATTGCTGGATCGGTGGCTCGAAGATATGACGTTGTCATACGCCGTCCAGTCCAGACGAATTTTCCAATCGGTCTCCCGATCGAAGTTGTGCTGGCCGAGTTGGATAGTTTGGCCAATGTAGGCGTATTCTTGC